CTGGCACCGCGCCGCCGCCGTCTCAGCTGCTTAAGGCCATTGTGTCGATCGCCTGCTCCAGCTTACTCCTCAGCCGCTGCCGCCGCGCCTGCTCGTCCTTCTCCAGCGCGGCCAGGATCTGCGGGCAAGGGGAAGAGAGGGTGAGGAGAGGCAGTCCTACACAAAGAGGATCCTTGTTGCCCGTGGCCACGCTGGATCATCACGGCATGGGGATGTGGTCCATGGGAAGTGGTGTGCGTTTGTTCCCATCACTAAAATGGGATGGAAAGGGGCAAAAGAGGCACAAAGTGGAGGATACAGCTCTGAGTGCTGCCACCCCACAGACTGAGCTTCCCAGCACCCTCAAGGACTGCAGTAAAACCAAGGACCTGCTTGATACTACCAAGAAGCCAACTTGCACATGTGGAAACAATGCACTTCCTTCATCATATGGAAGATGAACCCTGAAACCAAGTCAACAACACCTTCCCACCATGTCCATGACTCCAACAAGCCTATAGAATCCTAGGGAGGCAGGGGTTGCATTTCAGAGACCACAATCAAGCCACGAACTGGTTCCATAAGCACAAAAAGACCAAATCCATGAGGTTTCAGCTGCCATCAGTAGTAAAACCCCACTTAATCTCTCCCCATGGTGGACAACTGGGGGGCACGAGGGTGATGGAGGGGGACACCAAATGGATGCACTGGCAAAGCCTGCCTCACTGGGACCCTCAGTCCTATGCAAGGAGGGCACCCACAGACACCCAAGGTTGACTTTCCTCCCTTGAAACCCCCTTTCTTTAAACAAGCTCCTGGCTGAGATGACAGACCAAAGGATGAAGGGTCTGTCCCCTGCCCTGGTCCATGCCCCAAGGGCTGGGGCAGGACCAGCAGCAGCAGGAGGGTGAAGGGTAAGGCTCAGAGTGAGGAGAAGGGAGTAATGAAGCATAAACCAAAGGGCCAGTTGCCCTCCCAGCACCAGGAGTCTCGCCTGACTGACACGATGCCAGCAGAGCAGAGAAGCTGATTTATAAAACCAAACCTGACACAAGCCTCATCTCCGCGGGTGAGCTGGTTGGGAGAGCAAATTTTTTTGCAATTAAATATCAAGGCATCCATCAAAGGGGACTTGATTAACCATTTCATTGGCTGCATAATTGGAAACAAACTGTTGTATAATTAATAGACTTACTAGGAGGCAGGCAAAGTCCATCAGGAGCCCTACAGGTAACTTCTTAATGGGGAATCAGCTCCCTCTGATTGGGAGCTGCGGCAGTGCCGGAGGCTGCGGAGCAGCATTGCTGTGTGTGCAGCATCCTGCTCTGCCACGCTCCAGCCTGCAGCCAAGGCATGCTCCAGCTCTGTGCTGGGCTTTCTGGGACAAGAGCAGGCTGCTCCCCACCTGCTGGGGCAGTGAGGGATGCCCAATGGAGAACCTTTTCCCAAAGGAAAGTGGAAAGATGCATCCTGACACCAGCATCAGCTTCCAACAAGGGGAGAATTCATCAGTGAGAACCAGGCACTGATTCACCTCACCTGGCAATAACGATGCTGGGGTGTAGCTCTAGACTCATAGATGTGGCTGCCCCATCCCTGGCAGTGTTCAAGGCCAGGCTGGACACAGGGGCTTGGAGCAACCTGCTCTAGTGGAAGGTGTCCCTGCCCTTGGCAGGTGTTGGGACTGGAGGAGTTTTAAGGTCCTTTCCAACCCAAACCATTCCATGATTCTAGGATTCTGCCACAAAGCTCCTACCAGGAACACTCCTTCACTATCCATCTCCACAGCCTGTCAGCTGTCATGCTACACATGGAATAAAATAACTGTAATAACACAGGGAAATCAAACCCCATGTGCCTGAAAGGTGCCTGAGCTGCAACCAAATGCGACTGGTCTGGGAAGGGGAAGAGAAGCCTATTCCCCACCCCTGCCTCCCACCTCTCCTGATGAGACAGCTGTGTATCCCAGGATGCTGAGGTGCCAAAAAGGGTCACAACCTGCCCCTGCGCTGATCTGCTTCTCTTATCTCAGCCTTATGGGAAGAACGCAGTGGGAACCTGTGCTGAGCAGAGAGACAGACCCAGGTCTGTCACCTGCTGCAAGGAGCCAGGACCACTGATTACCACGAGGCAAGAACCCAAATGAAAATTAATTACGATTTTCATTCACAGCCAATGACAGCACATTATTGCTCTGAACAACAGGAAAAATTATTCTCTCCCATTTTGCATCAAAGAGGGTGCAATCGGGCTGCATATAATTGTGCTTAATGAATGAAAACAAACAAAGGGAACAGCTGCCATTTATTAATCCCATTACAAATAATAAAAGAAGTTCCTGAGAGCTGTGAACACACTTGTGATGCTCGGAGAGCAAGACACTCAACAGATGTCAGGCTGCCATCAGAGGACCTGTGCCCCTAAGAGCAGCTCCTTAATGTACCACAGTCGCATCCTGGCTCTCACTCAAGGCTTGGAGGGTTTATGTAAAGCTTGGGGGACTTTCAGCCCAGGGGAAACAAGCACTTGGTGATGGCTGAGGGATGGTGGTTGCCACACTGCAGGTCTAGATCCTTCAAACTGCTCCTCTTCCACTCTCATGGTGGCCACGGAGCTGTCATACAAACCGTAGAACCCCAAAACTCCTTTGCAGCCAACTCATCACACAGAGCTATGGGGGCCTCTGGGATGTGCCATCCCAAGTTGACTGATGAGTGGCACAGAGGTCCCACCAGCATGGTCATAGAATCATGGAATAGTTTGTGTTGGAAGGGACCTCAAAGCTCATCCAGTTCCAAACCCCTGCCACAGGCAGGGACACCTTCCTCTAGAGCAGGTTGCTCCAAGCCCCATCCAACCTGGCCCACAGACATCAGCACATGGCCATCAGCCCCATGTTGATCACCACACAGTATCTTCCCAAGCACCAGGGCTTCCTCCCATCCCTGCATGCAAGCCAGAATCTCCTCCTCTTCCTCACCTCTGTGAAGTACCTGGTCCCACAAGGATTTTGGCCATCACGACCCCAGTGCTGACTTTAGACCCATGGCCAGGTCTGCCATGACCTGCGTGTGGACTCCCTAAATTCACACCTCAAAGAGGCACTGGGAGATGCCTCTTGGGATGACTGCAGGGTACAACGGGGATCCCATTTCCTCTCCCAGCTCTCTCTGAGCAAGGAGATGTTCTGGCACTCCATCACCTGAATAAGCCACTGTTCAAATGCAGTTGTCAATCCCCTTTATTGGGACAATAAACCCACACTATCACGTTGTATCTACAGATCCATATTTTACTGTAGTTACATATTTCATGGCTTTAATAAAAAGATGCAGGATGTGGATCTGAGCGGTGCTTTACGAAGTTAATTTGTATAAATTACAGCAGAGGGGGTTAACCATTCTTACTGATGTTCACAAAGCACTGAAGAGGTCACCACATCCTCCACCATCCCTGGGGAGTGGAGCCAGACACCGCCTGTATCCCACGGTGTTGGTACAGCCATGGTGCCAGTGGATAGGGGAGATAACACCATGAACTCTGCAGTCCCATGGAACTCATGTGCCAAATGGGTAAAAAATTAGGAGTTTCCTACAGTCCTCACTGCAGAAAATATGGGAACGATTTTGCCTACACCAGTGCCTGTCTCCACGCCTCCTAAGCCTTTCCATTCCCACCAGCCCAAGCACAGACACAGACTACATTGCTCTCCTGCATTCCACGGGGTGTTTTTCCATAAGGAAAAGCATGGGACTGCAGGAACACAGGTAAAGGGACATGGCTTGTAGTTCATGCCTGACTCCCCATCACCACATCTTACCTCGTCCTTGTACTTGGTGATGTAGGAGTAGATCTCGTGCAGCGCGCTCATGCTGTTGAACTGGCTGAGGTGTAACCGCGATTGCTCTGCCAGGTACGCGCTCATGTCCTGGTCGCTGATCGCTGGCATTTTAGCTATATCTGCATAATATCTGCAGGGGGGAAGCAGGAGAGTGGGTCAGAAACAGGAACAGATGGAAGGATGGGTGCCCACCACGACACTCACCAAGAACAGCCACTGGACAGACAAGGTGAAGAGCCTTCAAGCAGTTACATACAGCGATCACCCGCTATAACACCACTGCTCATCAAGAGGTCTCTAAGCACTCCACAGATGGGTCAGCATCATTAGGAACATGCTCCTGATGGAGCAGCACCCAGCCCAGCTTGACTCACCATGCTGAGAAGCAGGAGCTGCTGCTCTGAGGGATTTCCCACCCTCTCCTAAACCACACATTTTTCCTCCTTCCTATCCCATTGACATTCTTGGCCACCAAACTGCATCCACCAGCATCCTCCATGTCTGCAGCAACAGGCGAGGCTTTGCTTCTCCTAAGGCTCCCGTGTCACTAAAGCCAATGAAGCCCCTTTGATTTCAATTCAACACTTGGTGTGCGAACACCAGACAAGTTCACCTCCAGCCCTCTTAAAAAAAGAAACTTTCCCCACAGTAAATGAGCCCTGGCTATTCCCAGCACCTGGAATTACAGAGTGCCAAGTCTCCTCCAGGTTTGCGTTACTCCTCATGGCTCCTCACACAGTGAAGTTTCTGGTACAGTGATTAGCATCATTAGCATCATCAGCTGAACACTGAGATGGAACACGGCTGAAGCACTTGGGTAGGAGCAGATGGCAGCAAGACCACTTGAGGAGATGAATGCGAGGATCCACTCCATCCCACAGCGCTGAACTCAGCTACTGATAAAATACTGGGGCAGTTTTCACAAGGAGACTCATTTGCACTCAGAAGGTGATGTGAGAGGTTTCCTGGATGCTGCCAAGAGCACAATGGTCTGAGGTGAAGACTTCTGACTAAACCAGGCATCAGGAGATCAGCTACACCGCGACAGAGCTCAGCCCCAGAGTGACACCTTGTAAAGCTGACGGTACTTCTGCCTGTGCTGAGGAATATTAGGGAGAATATGCCCAACATTCTCCATTCCAGCTGGCAAAGAAAACCCATAGGGATGCTGCTGCCACCCTTTAACCCTGTGAAGGCCCCGGGGTTAGGGACTCAAGGGAGAGGAAGGTACAAGGGAGATGTGCTGAAGAAGAAAGCTTTTGTGGCTGCCACAGGATGTCCAGGTAACGTGCAGCAGTTTCACATTCCGGGTTTTATTACAACACACAGGATGGCAGGAAACCATCATTTCTGAGAGCTGGGCTGGTTCAGCTTGGAGAAGAGAAGGCTCCTGAAGGGGAGACCTTAGAGCAGCTCCAGTGCCTAAAGGGGCCACAGGAAAGCTGGAGAGGGGCTTTGGACAAGGGACGTAGGGACAGGACAAGGGGGAATGGCTTCAACCTGCCAGAGGGGAGACTAAGATGAGCTCTGAGGCAGAAGCTCTTCCCTGGGAGGGTGCTGAGGCGCTGGCACAGGGTGCCCAGAGAAGCTGTGGCTGCCCCATCCCTGGCAGTGTTCAAGGCCACGTTGGACACAGGGGCTTGGAGCAACCTGCTCTAGTGGAAGGTGTCCCTGCCCGTGGCAGGGGTTGGAACAGGAGGAGCTTTAAGGTCCCTTCCACCCAAACCAGCTTGTGGTTCTATGATTTTAATAACAGCTCTATTTGGAGGGCTTTGGAAGACATCAATTTGCAATGAGTAGCATTCAAACCCTAAACCTTTAACACTGCATTAATTCAGTGGGGCAGATCTCTCATCAGCTAACAGTGAAGGTGGAGGGTGATGGAAGGAGTCAGGGGACCTGCTCCTCTCCCTCCTCCTCCGCACAGTGACAGCAGCCTGAGCACTGCCTCAGAGCATGTAGTCTCATGGGGATCCCAGGCAAGATGTTCTGATGGATGAGAGATGGGAAATGGTAATTTCAGCAAAACCTACATATATTGTCATGGTACAAAAAAGGCACTTCTCCAGTCCAAGACTGACTTCTCACTGCTCTTTGAAAGCAGTCAAGGGAGATGTTAGCAATTCCCCAGTACAGATCAAGTTTTTACAACAGCAAACATCAGACAGCCTAAGGAGGTTGCTTTTAGCACCCCTTAAGCAAGTCAAACATCTCTTACAAGCAGTCACTGCAAGCTCATTTCAAGACAATCACAAGAAAACATCATCTCCCAAACAAGAGGATCACCTTCTGCAAGCATCACTACAGTCCCTCTTCAAACAGCTGCCAAGAGGAGTCCTCCCAAAGACCCAGGTCCCCTCACCCACATACATCCACTGTTAAGTCCTCCAGGTGAAGCAAGGAGCTATTGGCCAAGTCTACTCACCTTTCTACCCAGCTCTTGTAGTTGGGGATGTCCTTGGCATACAGTAGTTTGTTGGAGGGAGAGTCTTTTCCTAGCTTGTGCTCAGAAGTTGAGCAGGAGTCCATGAATGTCTGAGCCACCACGGATAGGCAGGCATCAGTAATACTGTTCTTGTGAATGTCGAACACAAACTGGGGGTTCTTAATCACATTCACCCAAAAACGTAGAGGTAGACTGAGGGAGGAAGGAAACAGGAGCCAGCATCAGAACCAAGCCTTGTAGGGGCACACACCACAACATGTACCTCCAGATGTGGAGAAGGAGCAACGCAGGACCCAGAATTGGGCACGCTGCTTTTCCCAGCACCCCAGGAATGCAAACATCTTGGCTATTCCCCTCTGCCCAACCCACATGGCCACAGCTCTCCGTGGAGCCATTCCTCAGCACTACCAACATCTCCAAAGGCAAACCAGAGCAGCACAGATCTGTGGTTTCTCCAGAGATCCACTCATCCTGAAGAGCCTTTGCTGAGCCCAGTCAGACGAGCCATAGTCCCCTCCTCTCACATCCATAATCCCTTTGCAGGCACCATGTGGCATCTCACACATCTCCCGTGTTGGAGGAGGGAGTTAACTGGACTCCTCAAGGGACTCATTAGCACATTTAACACCAGAGGAGAATTGAGACAGCTTCAGATGCTGGAAATAAAGCTCTCAGTTGTGGAGGTCTCCTGGCCAGCCACCGACTGGATGTTTGCTGCATACCAACACACGTGCCACCCTCCGTGGCTCCCATTCCCAATCCTGCTGCCCCTCTCCTCTCTCAGGAGCATCTCAGGGCCTCCCCCCATCAGGAAGCCTCTTGGCTCTGTCATTCCTCAGCACCAACACCCAGCAATGCTTTTATCTTAGACAAAACACACTTCATTCCTCAGGACTTTCCTAATGAGGGTACCGGGTGCATGTACATATTTCATTTGTGAACGGAATGGCCTCAAGAAATTAGCTCCACACGTCGAATTAGCACCCAGAGATAAGCACAGGCATTAGTATGCAGGAGCCTGCATGCCCAGCCCCTGTGGAGCGGGGCTGTTTTATCCTCTTTTGCCTTTCACTCCTTCTTTTAATATAGAAAGCCGAGTTATAAATCAGTTCCAAGCACTTCTGCGCTCTCACATCTCCGTTTAAAAATGTTTCTTTTCCTGCCCTGCTAATTGCCAACAGTTACTGAACTACACAAAAGCAATTTGGCTGCCATTTAACAAATGCCAGACACGGGAACGTACGTACCCACCACCAGTAACAGTGAGATCAGAGAGATGGAATCAGTGAGGCAGCAGCAAAGAGCAATGCCAAAAGCAGGGTGTGGGGAGCAGGAGCTCCAGCCCTGGCCCCAGCGTGGCACTGGTGGAAGTCTCATCAGCCACTCCACCCTGCTTTCCCATGGGGAAAAGAGGAGGGAGGATGCAGAGACAGCTTTACGCTGACTTTGCTGGGGCTGAGCAACGGGAGGGAGCGTGGAGACACCTCTAGGACAGGCGAGATGAGAAATTGGGGCTGGCATCTCTGGAGGAGCACGAGGATGGAAAAGGCCTTTGCTCAAGGTGAGATGGGAAAGGAGCTGCTGACTCCAGCCATCAGGGGGAGCGTGTGCCTGGGATTTAGGAATGGAAGGGTGAAGGAGCATTGCATTCCTGGGATTTTTGCTGCTGAAGGCAGGCATGTGAGGGATTTACCCACCCCTGAAATACAGAGATATGGGCCTCTCTTGTCCTGGATCGTTTCCAGAGACATATTTCTGCTGCCTGCAGGACGGGGTTGGAAGTATTGTTAGCTGAGATATCATTACCCCCTGTCCCACTGCCCCTCTCCATTACCAGTTACTCTTCCAGGTGTGCCTGACATCGTAATCATTGATCTGATGCTTATCAGCTTGTTCATCCAGGAAATCAAACATGTATTTGATGGCGAGGGGCAGTGCGCTCCCACGATGTGCTGTGCTGAAGATGGTTTCAAACAGGTCATCCACGAACTTCTGCAGGGTGCCCTGAGGAGAAGAAAGAGAGAAACACCACTCAGCAACACCCAGCACCGGCAGAGAGGTGAGCCTTAACTAAAGGTTGGCCTTTAAGCCAATCTCACTTCTACTCCTACCACTTGGAACAGAAGCAGAGCACAGTCTGTGTAACCCCACTGGTTCTCGGTGGTTTATACTGGGAAAGTCACACTGCAGTGGTATTTCCTTCACTGCATGATCTGGCATGCTGAAAGCATACAAATGGCATAGATAACCCAGAGAAGCTGTGGCTACTCCAGCCCTGGCCAGGTTGGAGCAACCTGCTCTAGTGGAAGGTGTCCCTGCCCATGGCAGGGGGTTGGAACTGGATGAGCTTAAGGTCCTTTCCAACACAAACCATTCCATGATCCTATAAAGAAACTTATAGATAACCCAAGTCCCTGCCCTTCCCCACTCAGCAGCTGTCTCTGGGCCATACCTTGGTGGCCAGCAGGCGGGTCAGGTAGATTTCGGAGACCATCTTGCTGCCCCGGTCGCCCTCACGCTGGTCCATGTGGTCGTGGTTCTTCACCAGGTGCCAGAGCTTGGTGCCACTCTCCAGGTCGGGGGTGATCATGGGGGTCCGGGAGCGCAGGCTGTCGGGGCTGCTGGCTGTGCGCAGCATGCTCTCTGCAACACCGAGCACAGGGGGTGCTCATACCCTGCCCACCTCCACCTCGCCGCCAGCCCCATCGTCCCCCTTCCCACCACGTCATGGCTGTGAAATGGGAGCTTTGGGATCAGCCATGGATTGGGAGCTCTGCTGGGGCCATCCTTCTAGCCTGCTGGGCTACATGCAATGCTACAGGGGCCAGGACCATGGTGGAAGGGATTCTGCAGAGGCTTGTCCTGCTCCCAACACACAGGTCCCAGATGCCTCCTGTGTCAGTCTGAGCTGACCACACTATCCCCCTTCCAAACCACGGCTGAAGTACACTCGCCAGCACATTTGCTGGAGTCCTCAACTCTGCTCATTTAAGCACAAAGTGTCTCTGTGCCTATTTTAATTAGACTTCAGGGTTATTAAAGGGAGGGGATCCCTTAGCAGCAGCCACATGACACGTGCGTTTCGCCCCCAAGTCTGACACAAAGAGATGCTCTGGGGGCACCTACTCCCTTCCAACACCAGAATAAACCCATGGTGCAGGAGAGCTGGGGGTTGGAGGACCCTGTTCACGAGAGCCACAGTTAATGAATCACCTGCCCTGTGCCTTGGTCTGCCAGCCCAGCCCGGCGCTGCCTCCCCTGCCAGCACAGCGGAGGGTGCCCCTGCGCGCTCACCGTATCTGCTGAGGGACTTGGTGAAGGTAGAGGAGTTGGAGATGTTGTACGCTGAGTTCTGCTTGGGCACCAGGGCCACCGAGGAGCCGTCTGTCACCTGAGGGCAGAGATGGTGTGAGCAGGACACCGCAGAGGCAGCAGGGAGAAACCAGCCCAGGGGTGAAGCTCCACTGCATCCCACCCCAGGGACATCCATCTCCAGCAAAGGAGACCTACATACCCTTGGGCGACAAGGTCTAGGGTGAGCTGTCCCTGCTCATGGTAGGAGGTTGGAACTGGATGATCTTAAGGTCCTTTCCAACCCAAACTATTCTATGATTCTGTATCCACCTCTGTGACAGCTTGGTGGAAGGCGTCAGAACAGAACACACCAGACACGTTGGCATGAAAATGGAAAAGCAAGGTCAGAGCAGGAAACAGCCTCTGTGAGCCCTGAGATACCCCATTTAGTGCTTCCTTGAATGGAAGGACCATAACCACAGGGCCCCAGCAGGAAAGTGGCTGCAGACCTCCTGACCATGAGCATGGATGAGCAGCACGGTCTGGAGACCCAAGCCAAGGCCCTGACCAAGCTGAGGAAGGAGAAGAGATGCTCAGCTCAAGGCAGATGGTGGCTGCTCAGTGCTCTCCACCATGGAGAGCCTTACCTGGTAGTGGGCCAGGGTGTTCAGCCTCTTCCAGTCATTGTCTATCTTTGTGGTGACATCCTCGTCCTGCAGTATGATCCGGGCCATCCTGCCCTGCCGCCACTCTGTCCCCAGGAGCGAGAAGGGCTCGTGGTTAGTGGGTGATAGGAGCACAAAGCCAAGGCGAGGGTAGGAGCACAGCCTGGGCATCAACAGAAGAGCCCTCCCACCATGTTCTGAACCCCAGGGCTGATGGCTACCAACACCGCACTGGGTAAAAGCTGTTTCTAAGTCCTCAAGGAAAGACAGCATCGATTTGACCCTGGTGACCATTTCCTTTGCTCCTCTCCTCTTCATTCTCCTGCCTCTCCTTTAAGAACAGGACTATTAACACTGTTCTCAAGTACTGCTGGCCTCCTTGGCCCTCAGCCACCTCTAGCCTGCAATCCAGAACACAGCCAGAGCTGAGGAGGCTCCACTTCCCACCCTCTCTACTGGCAGGACCCACCAGCACAGCACAAGTGGACTGGAGATGCACGAATGCTCTGGTCCTGCCAGGTCCCCTCTCCTGAAGGAGATGTGGATCTTCCTGTTTTAAACAGGGTCTTTGGGCACTTCCCACAGGGCAGCACTCAGCTTCTCTTACCCAGGTCCATGTCTCCGGCTTTGGGGCGCTGGGAATAGGGCACCCCCTTGTAGACAGCGTCTAGCAGCTTCTCTTTCACCTGCGTGATGGTGTCGCAGTTCAGCACCTTGACAGGGATCTCTGGGGCGTTCTCGTTCTCAGGGTTCACACAGTTGAGGGTCTGCACAGCACAGGGGGGCAGAAAGACTCCAGTGAGAGGTTGTGATGCATTGGCTGCAAAAGCAGGTCCAAGGACATGGGGCTACAGCTGTGCACAGCCCATGCCTTCTCACTTCCAGGCTGCTGTGGAGTTGCAGCCACATGGCACATCCCTGCACCCCTTTTTTCCCCACCTCTCCCTGCCACCCTCAAATCTCCAAATATTCATACAATCATAGAATGGTTTGGGTTGGAGGGGACCTTACAGACCAACCATGGGGTTTGCTGGGAGAGGTGCAGAGGGGGAGGCAGTTCATGTTCAGCTTTCTCAGCTCCATGGCAAGAGCAAACCTTGTCATGCAAAGGCCCCATTTATGAGAGGGCCCACACAGAGAGGGCAAGAGGTACCCCAGGGATGCTGCAGAGAAGAACAAGTGACAAACCACTCTCTGCAAAGTACTTCGGGTGCCTCCAAGATCTTGTTAAAGGTTTCTGCTTGCACTAACCAGCATTTTGTAGTCAATCTGCTGCCGGATCAGCTTGTCTTCACTGAGGGAGTAGCGAGCCTCTCCTGTGATGGCATCAATGGGTCCCTTCTCCATCTGCTGCTTGATGGCACAGTAGAGCATGAAAAGCGGTTCCCCAGCACACTCCTGCAGGACAAGGGATGGAAGAGAAGGGTGAGAAGGTGCCAGGCACCAGCTCTGCCTCTCAGGAACCATCACTGTGGCAGAAGCCTGCAGTGACGCTGCAGCATCAGCTCCAGGCTAGTGAAGAGCAGGTTGGGTCTGGGGACTGTGTGTAGGGGATATAGCCTCTATTTTTTCAGCCGGTCCAGCCAAGAGAAGCACCAGAGGGCTGGAAAGGGCACGCTGCAGTGAGACAGCCTGGGGGCTCTTCCCAGGAACCATGATGCAGTTCTGGCATCTGCCAGGAGAGAAGGTCAAAGGAAGCTTCTCCACATGAGGGCTGGGCAGAGCCAGTCAAATACACTGAGAAGCAAAAGCAAGAGAGCAACTCACTGACAACCCTACCCCAGATTCCAGCTGACGGAGGTGACCAGGCAATGAGACTTCCTGCAGCTAAACCACCATGTCCCTACATGTCTGCACTCCCAAACCCCTATAGTCAGAGCAAGCCAGAGCCACCTCAGCATCCGTCTCATAGGTGGGAGGAAGGGAGAGGGAAACCAGACAGATACTTTCCCCCAAAGATGCTGGAACTGCAGCAACCAAGGAACAGCAAAGGACCCGCTGAGACTGGAGACACCAGCCAGCCATGAATTGACCCCTTCATTACCCAGGGCTCAAACCTCTCCCCTGAGCTACATCCCATCGAGCCCCTCCAGATACAGGCATTAGGCCTAAGGGACAAAACAGGGAGCAGAGAGGACAGGTACAAGTCCCAGCAGATGTAACCCCTCAGCCCTCATCCCTCCCTCCCCGCCACCTCCCAGATAAAGTGTCCTTTGGTGCGGAGTGCGGCTGCTCTCCCTGTCACCATATGCTGGTAGCATCTCGTTAGCATCTGCGGTAATTAAAGAGACAGCTGCTAACGAGCAGGAACAGGCATACATCATCCCCAGCCTCCCGACAACACGCCTGCCTTTGGAATTAGGTTTCATTTGCAAACTTGGCTTCATTAAGTCGGCTTGGAAACGTGAGACACCCAAGGTGGGTGCTGTGCTGAGCATCACTGGTGAGGCAGGAGCGTGGGGCTGGCTACGGAGTGATGGGCTCCCACAGCACCCCAAGCCCACCCTCCAGCCACAGTGGAAAGGCTCAAGTTGCTTCTTTCAGTTGCTTGTAAAAACTCCTTGTAAAACTTCCAAGTGTGTGGAAGTGGGATGGGTGGAGGAGAGCTGGGAGCAGGGCTCCTGCTCACATCTGGCACAGCTGATCCTGTCTCAGCCCATAGATTTCCTCTCTCCAAGACGGCATAGTCACTGTCCCAACATCTGCAGTTCTGCAGGATCCCCACCAAGAGCAGTGGGTTCAGCCGTGGTTCTACTCCAGGCATCACAGCATCACCTCCTCGGGTCCCAAGACACCAGCTGGGCTGATGGGGAACAAATCTCTTCTTGGATGCATGAATTAGAGCTGGCCCTATGGCCTCCCTGGAGGGATGGAGGCATCAGAGGTCCTGGTCTTAGGCACATCACTCCACCAACACCACGTGGGCTTCTGGAGGTTCCTGTGTGCCCCAGGATCCTGATTTCCTTCTGACCTATAGGCCAACTGAAACAATACAAAATCTCACTCCCAACCCTCACTGTCCCCAGCAGCTCTTGAGGACTGGGGCTGAGATGCTGCCACAGGTCACAGCTCACTGAGCCACTACAGATGAGGATGGTTTAGGGCTGAGACCAACAAAATCAACAGGGGCTACAGAAACCAGCACTGAGCAGCTGCCCCAGGATGGTCTTCCATTGGGGGAGATACAGAAGGGACCACTGAGATGGGTCTGGCAGCCCCACAGATTGATGGAGGGCAGCCAGCCCCCCAGACACAGCCGTGCCCATGGTGCCAGCCCTGATCCATGTCTTGGGAGCAGGCTGAGGCAAGCCAGCCATGCTCAAACTGCCTTATTGACTAGATCTAGCTCATCAGGCACCTAATATCCTGCATTTTTCAGCACTTGTCTCTCTTTATCCCTCTCCCTTTCCCCAGGGTGTCTCATTAAGAGTCTGATAAATGTTACTACAGGGTCCCTGTGAAAGCATCAGCCCCCACTGGCTCCCCACACTGCTGGCCCTGGGCAGAGGGGGCTGTCCTGTCCCCTGTCCACATCCCTCATGCCCTGCTCCAGGGAGGTTTGCTGGGAGCTGGTCCAGCAGCTGGGCACACGTCCTCCTGCCCCACTTACGGGGTTTGGTGCAGTTTCCCTGCTGGCAAACTGTCTGCTGTGACACCTCTATGGTTGGACACCATAGCAAAGGCCTTTACAAGAAGCCATTGCCCTGGACGCATCCCCACATCTCTCTCCTGCTACTCCTTACCCTCAGTCCTGCCCTGCACTGGAGATGCACCCAGAAGCCTCTTAGAAGAGGGATAGGGCTGTACAAGGACAGATGCAAGACAGAGGTGGCACATGAGCAGCTTCTGAACAAGGTGAACATGCCCCATCACTTGCCCACATGCTCAGCCAGGGACAGGCCAAGGGCATCAGGTCACACACATGAACACAAACATCCCCAAATGCAGGCATTTGGATGCTGTGCATGTGCTTGGCCTCATCCACTTCAAGGAGACTTGAAGGGGTTTATCCATAGCAAGAGCTACTCCTGCCTGTCCCACCCAGCCGTCTGCCAGCATCCAACCTCATCCCAGAGGCAAAGCCCCAGTACAACAGGGCAGTGGGAGGTTTGACATCTCCCCACGACCAGCACAGCTCTTCTTCTCCCCGGCCCTGTAAAGCATCTCTGCTGCATGCTCCAGCTAGATTTGTACAGATACAGGCTATCCCTCGACAGAGGCAAAAAGCCAAGTGCATGTAAGTGATATTATAAATCACCTCTCGCTGATGATCACTCGAGTTGTGCACAGACTCTGCTTGCTCTCATCTCTTGGCTGGAAACAGTTCAAACTCTCTTTATCTTAATGAGGGATGAAATCCCACAAAACCTGCTGCGTGGTGCCCAGCCTCACCACACGGAGCATCCCAAGGAATGGCTCTGCTCACTGGCAAAGCAGCGACAGGACAGCAGGCACCACTCACCCGCTGCTGCAGCTCCAGAGGGTGGAAGCACTGGTGCTGGTGGAATAAATGTTCTTGATATGGGTTGCATGCACCAGGGGTAAAAACAGCCCTCGGGCTCCAGCATCGTCTGCTGCCACCCAGATGAAGCTGGCAAAAAGGTGGATTTGAGCTCATGGGCTCTGCACCCTCGTGGATGCACAGGGAAGGGAGCTGTGTCCCTGGCTAGAAACACACCCCATGGTGTGTCCATCCCCACCAGGGCACCTTTTAGAAGGGAAGCAGTGGCAGAAATGCCTGGGGGAAACAATTCCCCTACCACAGAGCCTCAGTGTCAAAGAGATGAAGGAAAAGCAGCAGCTGTGCATGAAGAGTGCAGCACATCAAACTACAGCTCAAACAGGCAGAAACATCCTCCCATCACAGTCATGTCTACACAAGGACAAGCTCCCCAGGCTTTTTCCTCCTGAGTTACACAAGCAGAGGCAAGGAGGGAGGAATGGGAACCACTCCAAAGGGGTTCAAGACTCAGCTGAGTTGCTTCAGATTTATCCTCTCTCCAGGCACCAGACCCACTATGCATTAAGCAATCCCAGTCTGGATTTCATTTCTCAATCTCAGCTATTTCCCCAAAAGGAGACGCACGATCACTGATCACATCTCAGAATCCCAGGGTGGGAACAGAGACCTGGGAAGCAATCTCTGCTCTGGGAGGGAGCAGCAGTGCATCACCCCAGGCTTTGGGTACATCAGGGAGCACATCACCCTGGGCTTTGGGTACCCTGCTGCCACCTCCCTGCCCGCATGGAGCTGCCATCCCTTCCCAAACTCACCTTCAGAAACTTGTACAGCAGAAACGTGAACCAATTCGTCAGCATCTTCTCTGCCACCGACTCCGTCCTGTAGGGAAGGCAGAGAGCAAAGCCATCAGCAGGGGATATTAAAGGTCTCTGATCTCACCCGCTGACACCTCAGCCTTGCTTTGTGGCTGAATTATTTTTGTCTTTAAAAGGTGTCATCTGGAAAGGCAGAAGCCTTGAAGCAAGGGGGCACAAGCAGACAGCAAAG